TAAACAGTACATAAGGAAGAAATAGTTTTAATATGAAACAATCATTTAAGTCACATACATCATGATAAGAAGCAGGACTTTCTTTTATAAAAGATAACATCTTAACAAGCAACATCATCTACACATCTACAGAACAAGAAAAGTACAGGTATTGCGAGTAAGTTTTAATATAATTCCAAGTAATGTATTATTGATAAAATATGACAAAGATGAAGCTTCTCCACTGGGTTTCATTAAGTTTTTAATTAAGCACAGGCAGCCTGTGATGGCACTTTCTCCCTTCATTTCCCCTTGGCCTCTTGTCTTGGGATAATGCTATCCCTAGGCTCCTTGCTCCAGAATGCCTCTAAACCCCATCACTGTACCACCAGAAGTTGGAAAATGTAAAGGTGACATTTATAGTGATCTACAGGATAAGTGGAAGAGAAGGAAAAGTTATAAAAATTTGGAAATAAGAAGGAAACCTCTAAGTTCAGAACTAGAAGACAGCAGACTGTAAAAAAAAAAAATGTCTAAACAATCTAACAATCTATAGGAATTGAAATACAGGACAGTACCAGTTAATTTGCTAAAAATATTGCTTTCCATGGTTGCATGAGTTGTGGTCATATTGTCTAAAGTGTCATATATTAAAGATTCATAGGGCCAGGGATTTAGCTCAGTGGTTCCACTGCCTGCCTTGAAAGCACAAGGACCCAAGTTCAATCCCCAGTACCAAAAAAAAAAAAAAATTAGAAACTTTAAATATCTGGGTTTTTAAAAAGTATTTCCTTTCATTTGAAGCATGGTCTTTTTTTGCATAGAAATTATGTTGAGATGTCTAAAAGGTGTAATTAAATACATGTGATCAATAACCCTATAACTTAAGGATGTTTTGCCCAAAAGCAGGATAAACAGAGGAAACCATTTCTCATGTACAGAACTTCAGACTGTGCAATTCAGAAAGAAAGCAGAGGTATTTTAAATATTAGAATGTATTTATTTATAAAGAATTCTCAAAAGAGGGTACATAATTATTTAACAAAATCTAATTTCCTAGATAACATTTCTCTTCCTGCCTGAAAAAGCTTAGCTTTTTTATTCAGAGCTAAGAAAAAATACCATTTATAGCAAATGAATAAAAGTTTTTTTGCGTGTGGTGCTGGGCTTTCTACCCAGAGTCTTCACACTGAGCTACATCCTCAGCTTGTTTTTATTTCATTTTTTAAAATTTTGAGACAGATGAAAAACTAATCATCTTCTTTTAACCTTGTACCCATATATAAAGAACAAATATAATGTTAAATACTAAACATTCAAAAAATGAAATAGTGAAGGAATCCAAATATACTTTCACTGAAATTGAAAGTAAAGAAAGTAAAATAATAGTAGAAAAGAAAGGAGGAAGAGAAGGAGGGAAAGTGAAAATTTAAAAAGAGAAAGAAAGGAGTAAAGAGGTAGGTAGAAAGCAAGAGTCCAAATTGAAAGTTTATCTAATTTGGATTTGCCAGTGTCAATTCTTAACTTCAGAGTTTGTGTTCCTTTTTATTTTCATTGACTAAAAACATTAAATCATTTTCCATTCCCCTTTTCTTTACAAAGGTATTAAGAAATAGTTTGAAGAAAACAGTAATCTGTGTAGTTCTCAAAGAAGTTCCTTTTGTGGACAACCTTGCCACTGTATGTTAGGATTAGTTTTACCTACAAGTGAGAAAAAATATAGTGGTTTAAATAAGATAAAGGTCTATTCCTCTAGTATTTTAAAATTTTGGAAATAGCAAAGTATGTGTTTCCTAGAGACAGGACCCACAGCTCCTGCTGCTTCATCCTGGATGGCTACTATACTTAAGATTGTAACATGTCTCAGAATTGTTGCTAAAGTCCAACCACTGCTCTCATATTCTAGCCAAAAAGGAAGAAAAAGGAGAAAATGAAGAAGAGTTCTTCTTTCTTTTAAGGACATTTATCAAAGTTGTCCACAATACTTGTGCTTACATTGCATTGGTCAAAACTTTGTGCAGCCCATACTTTGCTGTGAAGAAAGCTAGGAGTTATAACCTTTATTCTTGATGACCTTGTGCCTACCTAAATATTACAGGCTTGCTTTCTTAGTAAGAAGGTTAAATGTATATAAAAGAATGTTTAGCAGTCACTGCCACATAGCTCGAACTAATTTGTTGGAATAGTGTTTTCATCAATTTTTATTATAGGAAAAGTGTTTTAATTTCTTTTAATTATAATACAATATAGAAAATATACACATATTCTTCAACATTGTTAGGTATTTAGTCATTGAGTCTGTGAAATGAGAATATCTGCTTCATCTTGTTTCCATATCTGGTCTTTATGGTTAGAAAGAAAGAAAAATAAATCTATGGTATGATCTGTCTATGTTTCCTATAACTCTGCACAGTATATTTTAGCTTTCTTTCTCTGAAATTGCATCTAAAATTGATGAGCCAATCTAATGCTCTTGGTCCTTGCTGTCCCACTAGAATAATAAATTAATCCTTCTATGGTCAGAGCAGTTAAATTATTGTTTTGGCAGGAGCTTCTCTTCTGAATGTATTAGTAGTGTCATTGTTTCCTTGTTATTCACCTCAGCGAATACCTACTAGACATAGTCCATAGGAAGTTGGGGCCAGATGAAGAGAGGATATGATCCAAGTATATGATACTTTCTTTTCTGATATTTTCTCTCAGTTAAAGTTGAGCTTGTTCTTCCCTTCATCTGTTTTTCTTCAAGAATATGTTATTGACTAGAGTAGAACGAATATTTGCTTTTTCTAAAAAAAAATACAAGGGAGGGAAGTTATTAAAATTTCTGTAATAAGATTTTATTATGTATTCTTTGCAGGCTGTGTGTGTGTGTGTGAGAGAGAGAGAGAGAGAGACAGAGAGAGAGAGACAGAGAGAGAGACAGAGAGAGAGAGGAGAGAAAGAGAGAGACAGAGAATATGAATATTCCAGGTACTACTTATTCAACAGTATCCCATGAAGTAATTTCAATCACTGAAATGTGTTGGCTACATTTTCCTAATACCTTGCACCTCTAAATCTGGCAGCTCTGACTGGTGATTTCAACAAGATTCATGACTTACTCATATTGTGTGCAAACATCTACACAAAAACTCCCACAATTGAATATTCCTTTTTCAAACAATTGCATGATTA